GCCAGCAGGCCTCAGGCTTGCTCCGCACTGCCGCCTCGAGCATCGGCCCGCACACCCCACGAGGGGAGAGCCGGCCTGTGGCCGCTTCCCCGGTTCCCTGTCTAACTCCTGGAGAGGGACCAGCTGAAACAGAAACTCTTTACATTGGTAAATTGAGGCCTGAGGTACTAGAGAACGTGTGTTGACAGAAAAAGCGTGGCCCGTAGCGTAGCTTCTGAAGGAAGGTGCCTATAAGAGCCGCCTCTCCCTGCAGTAACTCTTGAGCTTCTTGGACAATTGAGGGGGCAAAATTAAGTTCCTTGGCATTTTGTGAAAACAGGCAGAGGAGACAGCTAAGGAGGCCTCACTGGGGGCAGGACTATTGTACTGTTTACATCCAGAGAATCCGGTTGGGCTAAAGTGGGAAAAAAGGAAACTTCATAAACTGATGAAAGTATTTACCAGTAACTGCAACAGGAGGTGCCATTTACATCTTATCAGAAGCTCTGTTCCTGCAAAGTTTGTGAGGCTCATGTAATTCTACAGCAATTGTTAGACATGGGTGGGATTATTGACCAGACATAAACTGAAAGTCACTAAATCTTTGCAGGGGTGGGGTTCTGTGAAAGACGCAAAGTTCTGGTGAATTGTAGTGATATTCTGGAGTTGGGTGTGCCAGGACATGTTTGAAACATGAGGAAGAATTTCTACAGGCAGCTGTGAGTGATGCAGGGGAATGCAATTAACTGCTCAGAATGTAACATCAGAGGCGAAAAGTGCTGGAGCACTTGGCAATACCTGTCCCTGCTCTGGAAATTAGGTATACGCCCTACCAAGAGAATAGGTTGCAGGTTAGGCTGCTGTGGAAGTTATGATTTTCTTCCTAAACTGCAAACCTACTTGCCTACATATTCCTGGCACAGTTGCTGACTCTTACCACAAGACATTGCTGTCATTTTCTCTTAACGTTCATGCCTCCTCTGGGGTGACGTGATCTGGGTAGGGAATCCCTTTAAGGCTGTTCCTCTGCCTTTCCTCTGGGAGGATTTTGTCGCATGCATTTCAAAGAGCTGTTTAAAATGTCACTGCTGCAGACTGACTGTAGGTCTCTCTTTACAGCTATGCGGAGAGCAGCTTTGTCATTTGGGGTAATCTGTGTTCAGTCAGTTTCTTTCTGCTGCAGTGAACATTTTGGGGAGCTGGTTAACATTTCCTTTGAGTGTGCGGTTTACAGACATGGGCAGAAGGCCAGGAGGGAGTTCTGGCAAAAGCACAGGACCTGTGTGCCAGGAAAGACCCTCACTGACCAGCATCCAGAGGACTATTCTGCTCCAAAGATGTAAATGGGTGTCAGCAATCTCTGCTGACCTTAGAGTTTGAGGATAGAGATACAGCAGGAACAATTTAGGGCTCTGGCAGCCGAACACTTATGAATTTTGATGCCCCAATTTAAGCTACCGCTGTCACTAGCTCCCTAGTGAGTGACATCCTCGCAGGAGAGGCGGAAGGCAAAGGCACGCAGCAGTGCCACAGCCATGCCCACAGCAATGCTAGGCTGTGGCCTGGGTGGCAGAGAGGATGGCACACATTCCCTCCTGCCTCTCCCATGGGAGCGGAGCAGAGGAGGCAGCAATGCTGGAGCACCACGTCACTCCGTGCTCTCTGAACATCAGGCAGAGCCCTTACAAAACCTCACAGGTCACCAGGTGTTAACAGAGCTGGTTCAGGCGCCAGCTGCAGCATCCCAGGAGTCGATACACACTGCTGTCATGGCTGCTGTGCTTACCTGAGCAGCCCCAAGCCACCTGCTGAGCATAGTCGCAAAGCCAATGGCAAGGCTGTTACTCCTGTGTTTCCCCAGCCAGAGTGTAACAGATGTGATTTGGCTGTAGCAAGGTCTTGTGGCTGTGTTCCTCCATGGTCTGCTGGGTGTGTTCCTCCACGGTCTGGTGGGTGGGAAGGGGGGAGGAAAAGCAAACAGGAGAGATTTGGGACTCACGCTTTCTACCTGCACTCCAAGCTCTACAGAAACCTATCAGCTCTTTTTGCTGCGCTGGACTTGGCTGCCCGTTGTGGGAGTCCAAAGTACATGTAAGGAACACAGGAGTCGGTCACTCGACACGGTAACGGTGCAAGAGCAGGCACACGGCCAGGAGTCTGAGATCTGCGTAAGGAGTCAAAGCTGTGACACATCCCAGCACTGAGAGGGCTCAGCTTTGGTGCAAGGCAGAGTTGGGATTGACAGCCTTTTGACAAGGTAATTGACCCTCCACCCACCCCTGCAAGCTGCTGACCAGGACATTTTCTGGCACTGGAGCAGTGCTGATTTGCCCCTTGTCTGGCCACTTCCCCTCTTCTCCCTGTCCCTCTCTGCCTTTCATTAGGCTGGGTTTCTCGCCTGTGTTTGTTACGCGCAGACTGAGTGTTACAGGTCAAAAAAATGCCCCTTTGCTTCAGTAAATCACTAAAATCACATGATTTTACAGCTGGATAGTTATTAATTCCGTAAGGAACTAGCAGTGTTTATATTACTTTGTAAATAAAAGACAGTTGACAATGCATGAAAATAATGACTTCAGAGTTTTCAGACCTCCTCCTAAGTTTCAGAAGTAAGGCTTTGCATTTGGGATCCTTTTTCAGGGAGTCTTTTAAAGTTTCCCCGTCTCATAAAGTGACGCGCTTTGCTGACCACACATCAAAATAATGTTTAAAACATCAGTACTTAGAATCTTTTCACAGCTTTGCTACGTTCATTTCATTCCTGGCAAACAATATATCCCTAGTGCTGATAAACTAGAAGAACTGTAAATATCTTTGTTCCAAGTGTGGCTGTGGTCAGCCAGTAACTAATGCAGGATTGCTGGATTATCTGTGCAACATCTCAGGGCATGCTGTTACTTCGGTGTTGTCATTCAGTAGCAGACGTTTCATTTACAGAAGTCAGAGCTGAAGTGCTGGAGTAGCAGTCAGTGCCTCTCTGCTGTATAAGGCAACTGAAATGTGACCTACAAGATTAGCGTGGTTTGTAGGAAGGGAAGGAATGTGAACTATAGGAAAGCTGCCACAGTGGCGGGGCTGAGTGCTGCTGCTTGAATGCAGGGTGAGGGTCTGAGCTGCATGATGGTCACTGGAGAGCAGGGGCCAGACAATGGCCAAACTGGGACTGTCCTCAGCAGTTACTCCAATTAACAGCTGGGATTGTTGTTCCAGTGCATTCCACTTTGTAGTAGTAAAAGCTGTTCTGAAACCTCATGGCTAATACCAGGTTTGTATCTGTATCACTGTAGCATTTCTTGGCAAGGAATAACCTTGAAGATACTATTATGGCTCTTGCGGCTGTGCATTTTTTACGGAAGATCCCAAATGCCATGTCGCTGCGGGCTCCCCTGAGAAGATGCCTCCAACTTTGCTGCCAGTGTTACCCAGTTCATGCCTCTTTGAGTTATGAAGCCATAAAACAACACTACAGACCAGAGGTGCCAGAGTACTTCAACTTTGCAAGAGATGTGCTGGACAGATGGACTGAAGTGGAAAAGGTAACAGTTACTTGGCTTCTCTGGTGCCGATCATTAATGGTGAGCATCTGACAAATCCAGTGACAATGAGGCACTGGAGTTATGTTCTGATTATAATCTGGTGGTCATGTCATGCAGTTTGAACCTGTAGATCCCTTAGGCCACACGCTATCTTGTCCACAAGTCCAAACAGTTCTTTCCTTTAAACAGTAACTCCAGTGAGATCGAGCATGCGTAAATAGGTGCCTCATAAATGAGACTGTGAACTGAACTGCTCTAAACCTTGCATCAGTTCCCCCATCAGCCATGACATGCACCCTACTTGGATGTGCCAGGGAAATCACTTGACCTCAGCATGTTTCATTGCCCACCTGTAAAATGAATAATAAATACAGTGTAATGTCAAACCTCACCCACCTGTCCCAAATGTGAAATCTTTTGCATCTAGGGACTTGGAACCTACAAAACTGAACAACTTTGAACCCCAAACCAGACATGGGCTCTATGCAAGAAAAGGGAATATAGAAAAAACCCATGGGGTATACGTCTATTATCTTTCTTACTACATAGGTCTGGTCTCTCTGTATGTAGGACTGGTTCTGCAGGCTCAAGCTGTTCATCATGAGGGGCTAAATGCAGTTTTGTCAAGCCTGGCAGCAAGAATAGGGCAGAGATATCACCTGTCTGACACAATTGTTCCTTTTGCTGGAAAAACAGGTTTTGGCAGGCTATAATGGGAGCAAGGAACAGCCTCTGGAGCAGAGGTTTTGCCCTCTGAAGGGCAGGGATAAAATCTGATGAAAAGGAACTTTAGCATTATTATACCTTCCAGTAGATAATAAGGTGTCAAATTTTTAGCTCAGGAGGTGACTTACTACATTGCTACTGCTAAATGCGTTGGCCCTGTTTAAAGCAGATTGTATACATACATTTCAAAGCACTTCACACTGACTTCAGTCAGGTGAGACATTGGTTAAAGGTCACACTGTGTGGGCCTATGCTTTTGAAACTTTGATTTAATTTTCAGAAGTACCAGACAAGCCCAGTTCCAGATGAAGTTGAAAATGAGCTCTGAGGTCTCAGGAGACTCTGGGGCGCAACCCAGAGGTACCCACATTCATCAGCTGCTTTGCTGGTGTGTCCTGAACCAAAAAGATTCTTCTTTCTCTGTGCCGATTACTGTACAACCTCTTCAGAGTGTAAGATGAAGAACTCGGGAAAGGAATACAAATTTAATGTCATAAATTACATTTATAGGCTGTTCTTGCTGAGGGAGTGTTCCCTGCCTCAGTCGGAATCAGTGGCAAATTTCTGTTGCATCCCTAGGTTTCTCCAGCACTAAGTGATGAATGCTTTTCTTCCTCAGACTTCAATAAAAGGCGATGTGGTTCTAAAATGAAGCATTTGTACTGTGCCCTGTTCTTCTATAGGCAGGAAAAAAGTCTAAAAACCCCGCATTCTGGTGGGTAGATGGTGCCGGAGAAGAGGTGAGGTGGAGCTTTGAGGAGCTGGGAGTGCTGTCCAGGAAAGCGGCAAACGTACTCTCTGATGCCTGCGGTCTGCAACGGGGAGACAGAGTTATTCTGATTCTGCCCCGGCTCCCAGAGTGGTGGCTGGTGAATGTGGCTTGCATGAGAACAGGTTAGTAAAAGCATGGAAATGGTATATAGGTACAGAAATTGTGACTTAAACCAGTCCTTGCTGTTTAATGCAGTCAGAACTGCCAACATGCTAATGAGAATGAACTAGTGTCATGCTGGTCAGAACCACTCTTCGTGCCAAGTTTTTTCTTTGTGGTGTTTTTAGGACTTTTGTGCATGTTCTAGCTGTCAAGGAAACCCCATGAGTACATGTGCCTCTCTCCGCTTTCCAGCACTTGTGACACAATACAAATGCACCCTCTTGATAACTTGCAGTGCAATTAGCCCACACTTAATGAAGTGTTTCACATGTTCCCCTGTAGGATCTCTTAAATACTCAGCTTCCCAGTATTTACAACCCAGAAAGACTCGGTGCCCCACAAACGCTACCAGTATACCTCGTGAGGCAACAGCTATGCTCATCAGTAAAGAAGTCAAGTCCAGAGAGATGGCACGTTCCAGGGGCAGTGTTTTCAGAACAAGAAAAGTTATTATGTTGATTTCGTTTACTGTCCCATGATCAATATCGCATTTGCTAACTTGTGCTCATCCTCACATAGCATTGAATCCATCAAAGAAATCAGCATATTTAAAGTGTAGGGTGAAGTCCTGCTTTTAGTACAGCCCTGTCCCACTCAAAAGACCAAAGTAAGCTAAAGTCTGCTTGTAGGTACAAGAGTTATTCTTAAATGTTGAGACTGTTTTTCCATTCCCCTTCCTTCCCTTTAGGAACTGTGCTGATTCCTGGCACACAGCAATTGACAGCAAAGGACATTCTTCACCGACTGCAGAAATCCAAGGCAAAGTGTATCATCACTGATGATTCTGTGGCACCAGCTGTAGACTCAGTTGGGGCTGAATGCCAGTCTTTGAAATTCAAGTTGCTTATGTCAGAGGGCCACAGAGGAGGATGGCTGAACTTTAAAGATCTCCTGAAGTGAGTAAATACCACTGTGAAAGCACCACAGTAATAATGAAAGAAAAGCACGGTGGTTTGTTTTGAATAGCAAACGTTTGCACACGCCAATATATTTTCACCCTTTTCAGACTGCACAGTGGAAAAATACCAATGTTTATGAGACTTTTGATTGCTACAGTTATTTTGGTTAAATATTTTCAAAAATGTGTGACACTTTCAAATCATGTTATTCGTAATTTTGTTTGTTTTAAGAAATGCTCCTTCTGATCACCACTGTGTGACCACAAAGTGTCAAGATCCAATGGCCATCTATTTTACCAGTGGAACTACAGGATCTCCCAAAATGGCTGAACATTCCCACAGCAGCTATGGTATTGGCCTCACAGTAAATGGAAGGTACAGATACCACTTTAAATCAGACATATTTCTGTAGCTGGTGATGTAGCAGAAGGAAGAGAAACACAAGATTTTTACTGGAAGCTTTTGTTTCAATAGTTTAAACAACAGCAGTTGTTTTATATCCCAAAAAGTGGGTTTTTTTTTCCATAAAACAAGGCAATTTGAGTCCAGCTGCCTTAGTTTGTAGAGAATGTAGCAGTCATATGGTCACTAACTTATTTTTAACATTTTCTTTAACTTTTGGTAAATTCTTCTTAGAGTATAGTTAATAGATAGCCCATGAACTGAACATCAGCACAAGTTTATGAAGTCTGTACTACAAAAGGGAAAAACAAGTGGGTCTGTTAGGCTTCTGAATTCATCTGTGTCTGGATTAGACACAGCTCCTGCAAGAACAAAATGCTGATAGTTCAGAATCTTTAAATTTATAAAGCAATGTTGTTTATTAAATTGGTATGGCAGTGCACTTCACTCTGACAGGCAAAGAAGAACAAATCAGAAAATACCAAACTAGAAGTAAGTAAACAAAAAAATGCTCATTGCTAGAAATGAGTTCAGCAAAACCCCAGCAATCTCACACATCATGTTCTGAGGTGGTGTTAGCTTGTCCATCAGTATAATTTTTCCCTTAGAAAAAGGCAACATCAGTCTATCCTGGTGACATCCTCACTATGCTGTGACTTACTCCTGCTCAGAAATTCAGCCTTTTCTGATTGCCATTTACCCAAGGCAACCAGTGACCTGGCACATCTCTTGTTGATATTTTAATATTTGCCTTATTCCTGCCAAATAGAGACTGTGGACTGTTGCCTTGTGTTACCAGGTACTGGCTGGACTTGACGTCCTCAGATGTATTTTGGAATACATCAGACACAGGCTGGGCAAAGTCAGCTTGGAGCAGCATTTTTTCACCATGGATTCAAGGGGCATGCGTATTTGTGCATAAGATGCCACACTTTGACCCAAGCATTGTCTTTGAGGTGAGTGAGGAGAGCCCAGCCACAAAGAGCACTATTCTCTCTGGCTGGTCTTGCCTGATTTTTCATTTCCCCTGGCGCTGCAGGGGGGCAGCACGCAACACAGTTACAACTTTCACTAGGCAGTGATTAACTGATTAGTTAAGAAGTGAGTGCTGCAAATATGTACCCCAAAACAAGAGACATCCAAAGAGTTTCATCATACACTCTCCTCTGGATTTGATTGCACAAACCTGCAAACATCCATTATTAGGCCTAAGTGGAGTACACAAGAAATAGTTGTGGAATTTGTGGAACACTTTGGTGTTGCTATTAAATTAAGTGACAATAACAGATGAATGAGAATTTCAGTTGCCTGCACTGTGTAATTCAAAGTTAAGGAGTGAAGAGGCAGCAAGGTTGAATTTTTTTCACAAAAGCCACCAACATTATATTCTCTTACATCCTCCACACATAACTCCTCATCATTTGAAAAAGACTACCGTGTTTCATTTTGCGTGGAATGACTTTATCATCATATCCATGTTAATTCCATGGCTGGAAATTGCTATTTAATATTAGGGTATGTTGAAGAACACTGTCAGTTGTAACACCTACAGAGCATCTAAATAGTAGCCTTATGGTTTCACTTGTTTTCTACTTAAACTGCAATTATGAAGAAACTGCAAGAGAAACTCTAAAGCTTTCAAGAGTGAAAAACTTTAGTGTGTTGAAGCAATTGTAAAATGATGTAGATTCTCTTTTGAAGAAGAAACTAATTAAATGTAACCACTGTGTGTTGTGTTGGCAAGTACAGAGCCAACGGCTTATAGGACACAACATTTTGTTCGTGTATTTCATAAGCTGGATGCAGAGATCATTATATTATTGCTTACAATGAAGATGAGACCTCACAGGTTTCAGTATATTGGCCACATTTACTTTTTTTATTCTGAATTCTCTAGAGTCTGTCAAGATTTCCCATAACCGTCTTCTGTTCTCCTCCAACTGCCTATCGAATGCTTGTGCAACATAAACTGCCCAGGTAAGCAAAAGCAGAGTATCCTTGTTGGTGTATTTCATCAAACCAGTAGAGCAAATGCTCATCTCACATTGATCTTATTCCAAATTTACAATGTTATAGCAGTAACACAGCTCACGTATTTCTCAACATTTTGAATCTTCAGTATTAGGAACAAAGCCAGAATAAAGATTTAGGGATAGGTTAACCATCTCAGGCTTCATAAATTGCAGTGAACTTCCATAAGACTTTGAAAAGCAGTTTAGCTGCGGATGTTATAGGATACCCATGATACAATGATTAATGTACCTTCAGAAGTGCTTTTATAATCACATACTCCTTCTGTTTTTCCACTTGTTCCTCCAATACTATAAGCTACAAGGAGTGTGTGTGTCAGCACAGCTTGGTGAAATGTATAAAAGACTGTCTGGCCTCATTTAACTCTGCTGTGAGTTTTTATTGTCATTAGGGTTGAACTTTGTTATTCTTCTTTGGTTTAGACCCCAGTTCAGATTGTAGGGTTAGAAACAGTATATTGTTCATTAGATTTTCTAAAATAATACAGAAGTAAACCAGCAGCTTTTTCTTTTTTATTTGCATTTTTTTCATGTTTGTGTTTGTTTAACACTACACAGTTCAAATGGAATGAATAGGACTCAGTAAAAATTTTGGGGTTATGTAGAAAGGACCCCACAATACAGGAATACAGTAGTGAATGGGATGTAGCAGAGAGAAGACTGCCAATTATTTGTTTTCTTTCCCACTAAGCTATACATTCAAAAGCCTGCGGCACTGTGTGAGTGCTGGGGAGCCAATCAACCCTGAGGTGATGGAAGAATGGAAAACACATACTGGGCTGGATATTCACGAAGGCTATGGACAGACAGAAACGGTATGTTCTGCATTACAAATGTTCAAATGTATGTGTCCTGGGTTCGGCCAGGACAGGGTGAATTTTCACCAGAATCCAGGAAAGGGCACAGCCGGGTGGGCTGACCCAACCCCAACCTGGCCAAACAGAGCCGGGTATTCCATACCATGTGCCGGCACGCTGGGTTCCGGTGCGGGGGGAACTCACTCGCGGCTCGGGAGGGCACAGCAGCAGTTTGGTCCGAGAGAGTGGGTCTGTTCTGCGGGTTGTTTTGTATATTCCCCTTTTCTGTATCGTTGTTGTTCCTGTTCCGTATGCTTTACAGATACAGCAATAAATTCCATTCAGGTTGCCAAGAAAAAGTGATTAAAATTATTATACACAGGTATGACTTTTAGGGGACAAGTCACTTGCAATAAGCAACACTGGAAAAATATGAGTTTTGTAAGTTGTAGAACAATCGTTAACAGCATCACCCAAAACCTAAGGACTGTTTTTCATCCCTGTGGGCTTTGGATTGGGTGCTAACACAAAAGCGGTATATTTCTCATTAGTGCATTCCAAATTCTGCATTAGAATCTGTCTTTAGAGCACTCACTAGCATTGTTTGGAGATGTGGGCATCATTCTGAGGGCTTAGTTTATTTCTAGAAGTTTAATCATTGGATTCTAGAAGTTTAATCATTGGATATATGATTATAATGAAGACAATTAGTATTTCTTATAGAAATACTCACTATTAGCTGAGTATTTTAAAACTGTGCTAAAGACTGTATGTACAAGCCACAGTTTAATTTTAAAAAACCCTCAAATCCAACACTTGTTACAGGTGCTGATCTGTGGAAATTTTAAGGGAATGAAAATCAAACCTGGCTCTATGGGAAAGCCATCTCCAGGGTATGATGTCAAGGTATGGTACCTCTGGTGACTCAGTCTCTCGCACAATCACTTTCCGTTAGAGAGGTCTGAAGGCTCTGAAGGGGAGTTGTACCGTGTACCATCATTCAGCAGTGAATGAAAGACTGAAGATAGGCTTATTACTGCACTAAACTGAGCATGTAAAATAAGCAAGTGGACTTCCCTGTTGTACCATCCTCACCACCTTCGATGACAACCCACAGTTAGATATCAAACGTTAAAGCAATGATAGAAATTAAATTGGTGAGTTAAGTGGGAGTGAGTATCTTTTCCTGGTGGTAACAAAACTGCTGAAGCAGATTCTAGCACCAGATCAATTTGCAGTATGGGTTAAGTTTTTTAGTATCTTTCTTTCAGTTCTCAAGTTTTCTCACCCTGTCACTTATGATCCTCCCTGGGGTCTTACTAACTTCATTACATGTTTGCCATAGTACTTGGCATTCCTCAGATAAAACACATAGTGCAAAGTACAGTGGATCATCACTGATCTTACACTTCAGTTGTCAGAGTAAGACCCTCTACTGCTCAAAATCATTTTCCAATTAAAAAATACTTCAATTATGTATTTTAAATGCACACCAAGATTCTATAATCTTAATACTTATTAATTTGGCTCCAAGATAACAAGACTGTGTTTTGTTTATTTTTAGATTATAGATGAAAACAGTAATATTCTGCCTCCTGGAAAAGAAGGAGATATTGCCATCAGAGTAAAGCCTACAAGATCGCTTTTTCTTTTTACTTGCTATACTGTAAGTGTATTTCTGCAGTTAATGGAATCTGATGCCCCATTTCATTTACATGTACTCTGCTTACCAGTCTGAAAACCTGTGGGGAGGAAAATGGGATTTCCATTTTTTTCCTGAAGATGCTCGATCTACAATTACATGTTCGATGAGTGTCCTGCCTAGCAAGTTAAAATCCACTTTCTTTTGAATATATGTTATATATATATGTTAATATAAAGGCAAATGTTTGACGGACCTCCCCCCCTAATCCCAACACAGTCTTTGGCCTAAGTGCTAGAGCCACGCCTGAGAAGCAGGACATGTTTAAATCCCTTCCCTCCAGATTTGAGCTTCATGGAGTGTTTCAGACACAGCAACATTTTTGCCTTTTTTTTTTCCACATTGGTTAGAATTTTCAGTCCAACAACCAGTAAAACACATGCGTAGTGCTTTCAGTTCTGACACCAGAAAACCTTGTTAAATTTTATGGCTAGTCTCAGCCTACAGTCAGGTCCTCTGAGCAGTACTGAGCGTGTCGGAAAGGAGCACCATGCATACTGCCTAGAAAAAGTCTTGCAGAAGTCAGTTGCATTTACTGTAGAATAAGTGCTTCTTAATTGCTCAGTTCTGAGCCAAAACTTTTTTTTTTTTTTTTCGGGGGGGGGGGGATTGGGGGGGGGGGAGAAGATGTGGGGAAAAAAATCCCTGAGGATAGGCAATGCTAGAAATAGGAAGGAAAAATCATCGAAGGAGAATCACCTAAAAGCAAATTCTCAGTTCCATAAGCCTACATATTTTTGCAACCTTCAGTGGTTCCTAAAGCTTGGGCATAATATATTATGATTAACATTTTAAGGCAGTCACAAGTAGTGAAACTTCATTCGTTTATTGCAATTTATGAATTTTCATCTAGTTTTTGTATCTTTGTAACTAATTAATAATTCTCTATCATTAATGTCCCACTTGAATCTGATGCACATGGACCAGTCTGAAAAGCTGAAATTTTTGAATGTTTGACTCTACGTAATTTACATGCTAAATATGTTAGAATGCAGTTTGATGTATTTTTTTCAGGTAGTTTTCATGTAAAATGCAATTTAATATTTCCTAGGACAATCCAGAGAAAACAGAGGCAACAGTACGTGGGGATTTTTATGTCACAGGAGACAGGGGGATTATGGATGAGGATGGATACTTCTGGTTTGTTGGAAGAGCTGATGATGTCATTAATTCTTCTGGGTAATTTAAGACTGATTAACAATAAATCATTAAACTTGAAGAACACAGATGATTCAGGTGTGAAGTTATGTTTATGTGTTATAGAATACAACTAAAAGCCCTTTCCTCTGTTTTAAAGATACCGTATTGGACCATTTGAAGTAGAAAGTGCCCTAGTAGAGCATCCTGCAGTGGTGGAAGCAGCAGCTGTCAGCAGTCCAGACCCCATCAGAGGAGAGGTAAAGAAGTTAAACAAGCTGATATATTTAAATAGCCTTGTGCATACTAGAGCTAATAAAGCCCAGCTTCCAAGAGATTTGTCTGTCCAGGGATTTCTTTTTTTTAATTAAAGCTAACTAAATTCAAGTCATCATCTACTCTGTCAGATACTGGATGATCCACACAGGAAAAAACTGACCAAGGCAACTGGCCCAAATGCAATATAACAAAAGCACCATTTGACGCTTTCTTTGTGATTCAAATACTTACAGTTTTTCATCTTTATTAAATGTGTATAAACTGCCTGCACAGTCCAGACCAATAGTGAACACACAGACTTTGGCAAAGCTTTCTGTACCTGCCTTATACATTATTCTGCAGTTTTCTCAGCAAATGTTTGGTTAAAGTTTCATATCTTGCTGTTGGGTAACACTGTTTCATTAGCTTTTAAACCACTGCTGCCAACATCTTTAGGTAGTGAAAGCCTTTGTTGTTTTAACACCTGACTATGCTTCACATGATCCGGAAAAAATGAAGAAAGAGCTACAAGACCACGTTAAGAAAGTTACTGCTCCATACAAGTATCCTAGGAAGGTGGGTGCTCAAATACCCAAATAATTTTCACTACTATAAAGGCAGTGGGTGTTAACTGTTATGTGGCTTATAAGCCTATGCTGCTGAGGTTAAGCAAAATTAAAAATTTATGTAAACTGTATCTTATTTTGTGTTGCAATTTCCTCCCTTTCCCAATAGATGGAGTTTGTTCAACAGTTGCCAAAAACTGTTAGTGGGAAGATCAGAAGAAATGAACTGCGCCAGAAGGAGTGGAGAAAAGATTAGAAGTACTTACTGCTTTTTTAGAGGATTTCTTACAAAGTAAGATATTGGAGATTTACACAGTAACATAGAGTAAAAGACATTATACGATAGCCGCCTTAGTTTAGGTTTGAATAAATTCTTACCTGATGCCCAGCATTTGGGTGTCCCAGGTGCTACGCTAATAGCTAACAGCACAGAAGCAGGCAGACTGATACAAATGAAATGGGAAACTCATCTAGTGAAGAGCACAACAGGCGATTTGTGTTAAATAAAGTATTTAATGAAGTGTCACCAGCATTTTATCTTTATTGTTATTTAAAGGATAAAAAAACAGTAAGAGTTTAAAAGAACACTATGGCTTCAAGAATCACTTTTGAGAAGTGCAACAACTTCTAAATACATTTTTTAAAGTTAGTTATCGTTACAAGTATATTTTGAAAAAAGTGTAAATAAAATCTGTATCATGAAAATGCTCTTTAAGGGCTGGACTAGTAAAGAATTTAAAATACATGACAAAGCAGAAATTTAAGATTTGTAGCAACAGCTGCTCATACTTTAGCACTTAATAGTTTTATCTGTTCTCTCACACTTCAAGATACTTTATGATCTATTGATATTGCTTGAGCAATTTCCATTTCTACCTATGCTAACCAAGCAGCGTCATTTTTGTCCCATTCTCAGAAGATGTATCTTACATCAACTGTCCTGATTAGATTAAGCATGATCAACTTACTGAGTTTAAGATTCAAACAAAAAAAAATTCTCATTTTTCAAGTTCTCATAGAGGGTCTGAGACACAAGTATTTTTTGCTGGAAGAATTTCCTAAATTACTAGTGTAAGTTCCAAGAGAGGTCAAAGCATCTGCATTCAGGGTGAGATAATTACATTTCTCTTTCAGAAGCACATATTCCCACTTGAAGTATCCACAGCCTTTCTTCTTACCTTCGTGCTTGCCAACAGGACAACTAAAAAATGCTTTGCCATGATTTGGACCAGCATTTGACACATACAGTTTTTTAGCTCTTCGACCGCAGTTACACAGTGGGGGAGTTGGTTTTCCATTTTTCACAGCTCTTACAGACCGATTCAAATTGCCTGTGGAGTTCAGAATGGCAGGAGACACTTCCGGCAAACTGGAATTTCTTAAAGGTAAGGAATGATCAAAAGATGCAGTTTTCTCTTGATATATAGCAAAAGACTGTTTTTTTGCTGGTGGGAACATTTTTGGACTAGTTGGCTTTCTTTTAGGAACCTCCAAAGGAGTAGAATAATTTCCAGTTAATGCTGATTGTGCTGAAATGGCATTTACCTTAGCAGATGGTAACTTAAAAGCTGAAAAATTTGAAGTCTGCCTTTGTACCGTTCCTACATTATAGATAGTAGTATCAGGACTTTTGTAAACGACAGATTTCAGAGGTTCCACAGGTACTACGGTGTTTTCCAAACTCAGATTATCTGAACTCATCACAGCCGATTGTTTTGAAATTGTTTTCTCTTCCAACACTGTTAAAATACCTGTATTTGAGTCATCTTCGAATTGAACACAGTCTGAATTTTGCTCATATTGAGATTCTGGTATTAAAGCGACATCTTCCCAGTCAGTCAGCAGAGATAAGCAATCAGAACTAGTACTGATATCCTCATTGGAGATGTTAACTGAGGAGATGGTAGTGGAGACGAGCACTAGTCCTGATCCGTGTGCCGGAGGGCTATGTCTGGCTGCACTCAGAGGCTGCCCGTAGTTCAGTCCTTGCTGAACACCCGTTGACACAGTGCTGTGAGATTGCTGTGCCTGCTCAAGAGGGACAGGAAATCTGTCAGTGGGTGTTGTTAAAGAGCTTTGGGCTTGAGCATGTGACTCAGTCCTTGAGCTGCTGCTAGGTACAGCGTGGACATCTGCAGAGGAATCGGTGCAAGTGGTCTGTTGTTGTTCTTCAGTCTGCACATTAGAATTTATCTTAATTCCAGCAATACTGTTGTGTTTTTTCTCAGCCAGAGAGTTTGTTCTGCAAGTTTCATCTCTAGATGTTTCAGGTCTGCTGTTACTTCCAAGTGGAGTCTTGTCAGTGAAGCTTATAGCTGGTGTTCTGGAAATTAAATTACTCTTTGGCTGTGCCTAGGGAGCCCGTAAACAAAAGATTTTAGAAAGTGAATACCCAGGAGTTTTAGGAATCAACACACAAAATAAACGTTATCAGCCTAGGCATGGTCTGCTCAATTCATAGTCCTGGGTTTGTTATTTGAATACCTCATCTTTCATCTGTGTTCCAGGCTACAAAGCAAGTAGAAGGGAATGTATGAAGTAGTTACTAACCTTACCCAAAGATTTAGTAACCTTCAACACACATCCATCACAAATCAGCCTCCAAGCAAGACGGGCAGTGTTCCGAGAATCATCCAACCCTTCAAAAGTATGATTATGTTAATATCTATTTTTTAAACTACTACTGGGGTTCTTTCTAGAAACGAAATGTAATCTAGGGAAGCGTTACAGAAATGACAGGAATTCATAGAACGCTGACACATAGTTATCTAGTTCAAAAAAAGGGAAGCAGAAGTAAAAAATTCCAAAAAGTTCCCTGTGCTGAAACATCTCAAGAACCAATCCGTAGAGCTGAATATATAACCACAATTTTTTAAATACTTGTTCTGTTTTATTAGTCATGTTAAAAAAAAAAATCATATTGTGCTGGTATTTTCTTACACTAGTATGTTGTCCAGAGCTATCAGGTAAAATTAAGTTTTCTTATCCTTCCTCTGCCTCTTTTCTTTTGCACCCTAGCAATTCAGAGATTGATCTTGTTGAACATGCACTCAACAGCACTAGGACAGATTTCAGAAATAAAGCATAAGGTTAGAAATAACAAACTCTGATCTTTGAAGCCTTTCTTGTTTTGACAGAACATTGTTTTTTGTTGGACAGAACATTGCATAACCTGTAAATAATAGTTACTATTTAAAGTAATGACTAGTATTACTAGCTAGTTTAGTTTAGCTAAATTTTTTTACAAAAAAAATATATATCAAAATGAGGGTCATCATATGATACTTACCAGAATGTTCCCGTCCTGAAAAAGCTATCCCCAAATCCTGCAAAGCACCACTTAGCCCTTTAGGCTTCCTATTATAGAAGGCCTAAGGAAAAAAACACAGGTGCTTAACACAGGCACTTCAAAACCTCTTCATAGTGAAGTGAAAACCATTGCAGAAATACCACCTTATGAACAATAAATCTTACAAGGCAATTGCGCAAGTCAGGTATCTTCATTTTACAGTTGGGATAAATAAGAGTAAGACAGTAGGTGACTTACCGTGTAACAAACTGGAATGGAAAGAACCATCAATCCCCTCTGTCAGTCTTAAGCTAATCCACTCTCTCTTAGCTCTGGAGTCATCCATTTGCACTTTATGGCCTACATTGATGAAGGCCTTAACAGCGCAGCATTGAGGAATACAACTATAAATAATGTCTTGAGATGTTTAAACTGTTGCATATTACAAAGCCATGGGCATTAATATATTTGGCATAGGTAAGTAAATTATTTTTAAATGAGAAAAAGTGAGTATTGCTACTCACTCCCAGTATCTCATTTGATCACAACAAAGGAAATTTGATCACACTGTTCACCTTCAGAGACCTAATTCTGCTACCTAGGTCAAGAGCCTGAGCTCCAAGCGTCAGGACAGGTAGACTCCTGGAGCACCCTTCGAAAGTTTCCGTGACGACACAGAGGAAGGTACACACACGTAGGGGCTGTTTGCCCCCAAGTTAGAACTCTATTGCAGTGCAGACTGTGTAATAACATATACATTCATTTTTTCAGTAGTATTTATGCTGTTCAGCATATACTTTCTGGTCCAAGTACAGTTCATATCCTAGACTCTTAAGTACCACGAAACAGATGGTGATGACTCTTTTCTACGCAGCAGTAAGAGCACACAAAACCAGAGAAGTTAGGAAGCAAGCAGAGCAAAAGATATCAGTAAAGGAAGGGCAGCTTGAAAAATACTCCCAGGATTATCATTCATTTATCAGCAATAACACCAGGTTGTTTACCTAGCATTAAGTTTTCTATTAAAATTCATACAGTTCTAGGGTATGCAATTCATTATTGAGCGATAACAACATGAAACAAAAACAAATGGGTTACTGGAACATACAATATTGGCTTGTAACCTCAGATACAGCTAGCCTTTGAGATGATAACATGGGTATAAATGTTTCACAGTCTATCGATCTTCTCACCCTATATGTTGCTTTGAGATCAATCCAGGAGTTTAAAAAGTCAGGTTTTTGCAGCTGCTTCCTTTTACACTCATACTGCAAACACACACCCAGGTCCCAGTCTGCACAGAAAAAGACCACAAATAATCCATCACTAAAGAACTGGCCTAAAATCTACATAAACATGGCTTAATACCTACACAAAGGGACATACCATCAACATACTACAACAGCATCTTGTACTGCTGGACAGCAGGCATAGGCTAACAGGTTTCGTTAGCACAGGCTAATGAAGTCTTCGTACATGAAAAGCACTAGGGTTGCTGTAATGTGACATCAGGATAAGCGAATGCCTATTTTTAGTAGAGTGACTTCACGATGGGTAAAGATCTCCAAGACCTCATCAAATATTGAGACACAGTAAGAATGGTGATGCAGTTCACTACGTGTAAAGCAGAAAAATGTAACGATGTCAGACGCGGGAGACAAAGATGTTGTGAACACATCAGGATTCCGTGGATTTCATATTTTCAGTCTTACCCCAATATTGCCCATCGTTAATACCTAGTAACAGGATTTTGGTTCCCTAGCAGTAAAGACTCAATCGCACTAGCACCACTACACGTTCATTGTTTTATGTGTATTATTCCGCAGAAAAAGCAAATGAAAATTTTATTTACCTGTCCAAGTTACAAAGGTACATGGTTTTGCCCCTGAATGACTTGGAACATCTGAGCTGAACACAATTTTCTTCTCCTTTTGTACCTTTTGAATCCATTTGAAAAACTGCGATAAACAAATGTGTAGAGGTACCCCTTCATCAACTTGATTCTTTATGAAACAGAATGAGAAGTATGTTAGTACACACCGAAATTTGTTTGAGACTTGTTTCTCTTTAGAGGCATATTTAAAATAAAAAAAGTAAACAGCAGTTATACCTGTGTTATGCCCGTTAGTTCTGTACAGAACACAGAGAGAACAGGATGCTCCTGGGGCTGGACGTAGGTGTGGAATTCTGACTCGATCTCCCCCGTTGCAGTGTTTAACAGGACTGCTGGAAACTCAACTGCGGGAAAATAGATCGGGAGAAACCAACAGCCAAACCGACCGGCCCCCCGTCCAG